TCCTTCTATAACTTTCGGTGGAAAGTAGGTAGGCGTCTAACACTGCTTGTTTCAGAGTGTAGTAGTCATTCTCAGACGCCAAAGTACTGAGTGTGACTGCAGCTCTACCTGTAAGATGGACTCTGAGAAGTGTGGCCCATTGGTTGACAGGCCAACTGAGTTGATTAGCAAGGGTTTCAAAGGTGGTGAAAAAAACATCAACTTCTGCTTCTACAAAGGATGGCATTAACTTACTTGCATGTGATATATTAAAACTGACGGGAAGATTGGCAGTAGCTTGCTGGCGTTGGGTGAAGTGTGAAGTTTCCAAGGAGATTTCGCGTTGACGACACTCTAGAGCCAGAGTCGCTTGTTGCTTGTCATGTTCGCGTTGTATTTCCAACTCGCGTTGTTTGGTTTCAAGCTGTACTCTTTCACGTTCACGGAGTAATGCGACCTCGCGTTCGTGTTCTTCTCTCCTCAAAGCAGCTTCACGTTCTCTGAGGGTGATTTCTCGTTCTTGTTCTTCCCTCCTCAAAGCAGCTTCGCGTTCTTGTTCGTCTCTCCTCAAAGCAGCTTCGCGTTCTTGTTCTTCTCTTCGTATGGCAGCAGCTCGTTCTTGTTGTTCGAGGGCTTCCCTTTGCTGCTCACGTTCAATCTTGGCCAGCTCTAGTTTGAGTTTCAGCGTTGCCAAATCAGTTTTATCTGCAATATAGTAAGTTTCATGAGTGTCAGAGTCTATCTTACCTTGCTCTAAATAGTAATCCAGCAACAGGTTGTGTAGGTCATTTTTGTTGGCTTGGTAGGGAACTTCTAGTTGATACTCATGTGCAAGAGTTTGTAATTCAGTCCTCTTGGCACGACTTAAAGTCCCTATTTCACCTGCTGGATTTGCACGGAAAGTTTGGAGACGAAACATGGTGAAATTAGCAAATAAAGGTACACGAATGTTCAATAATGAAATGTCAGAAACAGGACAACGTGGCAACTGGTACCTATCCTGTGTGATCTTTAACAATTAACGTTAAGTGAAAGATATTAAATTAAATCAAGGGCGCAGGAAATCTTGTACCCGGTACTCATGTAAGAGAATAAGGGCAAGAAAATCCTACTAACAAATGAAACAAAGTTTCGAAAACAAATGAAACAGTTAAATGCTTCAAAAGTAAAATTGGTAGTCCAAGGATGTAGGCATACCTTGCCAAGTCTCTAAAGGACATAAAGCAAGTTTTTCCCACTGAATTTAATATGATACTTACAGAATTAGCGAACTTTTGTGCTCTGAAAAAATAAGCTAATTCCCTACCGTTGTATGTATCATCATCTCTGACTGACGTGTAGGGGTGCGAGGTGTCAACTGGTGACGAGAACTGCTGCTGAGGTCCCAATTCAGCAACTAAAGTTCGAGCTAGAGGAACTATGGCCCTCTTTGTCCTCCTACAGTCAGATTGCAGAAGATTGGGTACTCTTGACCCGGGGCAGACCACAGTACCAGGGTACCAATATGATGATCTGTCAGAATGAGAAATATTCAAGGGACATAGATGGTAAACACGAGTAATAACAAGGAGGGAGAGATGACCAATTAAGAGTATGACTGCGGCCTACAGTCACCACGTAATCCAAAGTTGTCTCACCTTCACTATATGTTACTCTCGTAATGCACAATACACCGCACCTTATAAAAATGAAATTGAATGAAAAATAGTAAAGCTACGTTAACAAAGTTAAATACGCTTACCATAAATTACCACTTGGCACCAGTACCTGAGTGAAGCTCCTAGGACAGGCCCCCATATAACTTGTGACGGTAACGCGTTGGTGTTCGGCTGTTTAAGGCTAGGGGTATGGCCTCGTCACATAGTTATAAAAAAAAATAGAAAAACTGGAACTTCGTCTGTGGTAAGGTAAGGAGAAGACACACAAAACACAAGTAAACTTTAACAATGAAATTTTAATTACGTTAAATAAATCAAAACATGAAAATAATGCACAAACAAATTCTTATAATAAAATCAATGAATCAAAATAATAAGAATACTTAAATGACACAATGAAAAGTTACGTTAAGGCAAAATAATAAGAAGTGCAACACAAAGTAAGTGGGAAGTGCTGGAATATTGGCTTAAAGCCACCACCTCTCTCAGTACACGCTAGAGTCTAGCTGGGAGGTGTGATGGCCACGAAAGCACTGAACATTCTGAAGACTGATGTTGGGGCGACCCCAGACATCAGGTAGTATGGGGGGCGAGGCAGGTGCAGCCAGACCGGCGACCAATCAGCGGAGCCGTAGCGATCAACGGGTAGTTTGGTGGTTGGGGTCCGAACAGGTGGCTGGCTGCATACGTTTCTGCTCACCCTGGCAAGCCTTGCTGGTGTTGTTGTCGTTGTTGGACATTTCTTCCATAGTCTTTTTATATAATTGTGAAGACGTAATTATGGAGGGAAGAGCAGGCTCAATCTCTTGAAGGAGATTATCGTCACAATATATATATATATATATATATATATATATATATATATATATATATATATATATATATATATATATATATAATATATATATTTATTTATTTATTTATTTTGGTAGCAGTCTTTCCTGTAGACATATATTATTAAATATGACCGAAAAAGTAAGATTAATAATTCTAACACGAATTTTCTCTATCTTTCTTACGTTTCTTTTCACTGTTGATGGTAATTCAAAATTCAATTCTCCAAAATTCATTTTTATTTTTAGTCTGACGCGACACTTGAGCGCGTTTCGTAAAACTTATTACATTTTCAAAGACTTTAGTTTACAAACACATAACTGAAACTGAATAGAGCTTACACATCTTCGAGTTTATATCTACATTTGGGTGAGGTGGATGAGGTGACCATCCACCTCACTCAAATGTAGATATAAACAAATCGGAGATATGTAAGTTCTATTCAGTTGTGTATGTGTAAAGTCTTTGAAAATGTAATAAGTTTTACGAAACGCGCTCAAGTGTCGCGTCAGACTAGAAATAAAAATGAATTTTGGAGAATTGATTTTTGAATTACCTCCAACAGTGAAAAGAAATGTACGAAAGATTGAGAAAATTCGTGTTAGAATTATTAATCTTACTTTTTCGGTCATATTTAATAATATATAAAATATATATATATATATATGCGAACAAGCCTGAATGGTCCCCAGGACAATATGCAACTGAAAACTCACACCCCAGAAGTGACTCGAACCCATACTGCCAGGAGCAACGCAACTGGTATGTACAGGGACGCCTTAATCCGCTTGACTATCACGACCGGCAAAAGGAAGTGATAGCCGAAGCTATTTGCACCACTTCCCCGCCGGCACTCGGATGGTAATCTTGGGCATAGCATTTTATCAAATCACCTCATTCTTTGGGGAACACAATATATATATATTGTGTGAGTTTTCAGTTGTATATAGTCCTGGGACCATTCAGGCTTGTTTGCATTTGTGTTCCTCACGTGTTCCCCAAAGAATGAGGTGATTTGATAAAATGCTATGCCCAAGATTACCATTCGAGTGCCGGCGGGGAAGTGGTGCAAATAGCTTCGGCTATCATTTCCTTTTGTCCGGTCGTGATGGTCAAGCGGATTAAGGCGTCCCTGTACATACCAGTTGCGTTGCTCCTGGCAGTATGGGTTCGAGTCACTTCTGGGGTGTGAGTTTTCAGTTGTATATAGTCCTGGGGACCATTCAGGCTTGTTTGCATTTGTGTTCCTCACGTGTTCCCCAAAGAATGAGGTGATTTGATAAAATGCTATGCCCAAGATTACCATTCGAGTGCCGGCGGGGAAGTTGTGCAAATAGCTTCGGCTATCATTTCCTTTTGTCCGGTCGTGATGGTCAAGCGGATTAAGGCGTCCCTGTTTCATACCAGTTGCGTTGCTCCTGGCAGTATGGGTTCGAGTCACTTCTGGGGTGTGAGTTTTCAGTTGTATATAGTCCTGGGGACCATTCAGGCTTGTTTGCATTTGTGTTCCTCACGTGTTCCCCAAAGAATGAGGTGATTTGATAAAATGCTATGCCCAAGATTACCATCCGAGTGCCGGCGGGGAAGTGGTGCAAATAGCTTCGGCTATCACTTCCTTTTGTCCGGTCGTGATGGTCAAGCGGATTAAGGCGTCCCTGTACATAGCAGTTGCGTTGCTCCTGGCAGTATGGGTTCGAGTCACTTCTGGGGTGTGAGTTTTCAGTTATTTATATATATATATATATATATATATATATATATATATATATATATATATATATATATATATATATATATATATATATATATATATATATATATATATATATATATATATATATATATATATATATATATATATATATATATATATATATATATATATATATATATATATATATAATATTATTATGATTTATTTACTACCAAAAAGGGTACCTTGTAGTGCTCAAGATACTCTGCCTCTTCCCTTCCCTCTCTCTTCTTTCCTCCTCTAGCCAGTCTGGCCTCCAACCTCAGACAGCCATTTCCAGTTATCTGTATAGTATTTATATGCTAAGAAATCTAGGGACCTTTTACTGATTGTGTGGGAGGGATCACTATCATGCCAGACCCTCTCTTAATAGGAGTAATAGAACTGACCCTGACCTGCCTATGTTTGTTCCATACTCCATGCCATTCACCGTGTAATGTTGGGTAAAACTAGCCCCAAGCATCTGCCCTCCACCCTCATATAGACAGAAACTGCCATTTTCTCTTATACAGTAGATATAAATATAATTAATAAATAAATCATATGAAGTACATGCATCAGTCACACACTATATATACTGTACTATATAAATATACGCAATTTAAATGTTGTATATGCTTGGTACCTGATTTATTCCAGGAATGTTTTTTTATTAATTTTAACAGTAAAGCCTCCAGACAGCCCTAACCATACATGCATTTCTTGCCTGTTCCATTTCCCTTTTATGCTCCTAAGATCTTTCCTGTATATACAGTACTTCACTTTCTGCCTCATAGATACAAAGGAACAAAAAGGATACCAAACAGCATCAGACCATTGGGTCCAAACGAAGCTGTTTATATAGTAGAAGACTTATGGTGGCCCAAACAATGAAAGCTGTGGATTTGAATCGAGGTATTTGTCTAACATGTTTTAAACATATTAATGGTGCTAGTGCATTCTGGTACTGGTAAATTCTATATATTTACCACTGTTAGAGAAAAGATATCTCAGAAATTGACTAAAATCATTTGCCTGTGATTTAAAACTCATTGCTGCGTGTTGTGTGACTGAACATTGAATCATATTCTGAATTAATATTGCCATGCTCTTGAACTTTTGGATGTATTTACAGTCGTCTTTTTCCTTAACCTAATATAGCTAAATAAACTTAGTGCCTAATTGGTTCCATATTTGCTTTTTAGTTTGAGTGCCCTTTTTATTGGTTGACACTCTGAGCATCTTTCACTGCTGTGTGTATATCCTCCTTAGATATAGTGAGCCAAACTGAATTCAGTATTTTTGGATATATTACACCAAGATACTGTACATAGCAAGGTTGACTTTGCTGAATCAAAGTTTCAATGTTTTGCTAATGAATCCTAAAACTTATTTTTTCTTTTAATTCACTGCCTATTTACTGGGCTTCAAAATGTTAACCATTTTTTATCCAAACCTTCATCTTTTAATTTTGAAGTTTTATACAGGTCATGTAATTTCTTACTTTCTCATTTGTGCATCAAATATATTATTTTCAATTTAACCTAGAAAGTTGTTTGCCACGTTTTAGTCTAGTTAACTCGTTTGTCTGCATCCGTTTGTAGTGACCAATGCTCAGATAATGCTGTGACTGTGTGTTATAAAGTGATATAAAGTGACTGTTGTCGGTGAATTTGTTTTACTTGAATAGCAGGGCTTTCCAACTAGTGGCCGAAGTGTGTGTGTGTGTGTGTAAGCTGCAGCCTGTGAATGAGTGTGTATTATGAGAAATACTATATATAATTATAAAAAAGATAAAAAATGTAAGCTTATTAGCAAAGAATTTTGTTGCCAAAAAATTGCCACTGCTCGTGTGTGAAAACATGAATTTTCATCCAGTCCAATGTAGAATCTATAGTTAAGATTTTTGAAAACGATTTCTTGAATTTGAATGACTGAAAAAAAACTAATACTTTTCAATAATCCACTAGGAGTTGCGGTTGAAAATCAGTCTTCCACCGTACAACTTGAGCCGTGTGAACTACAAGCTGACCCGTTCCTAGCCGGCAGACAAGAAGTAGGGCAGTACTTCTTTAAACTTCTTACAAATGACCACTTCCCCCTGGTTTAAAAACTCTTGTCAATGTTTGGTGGCACATGCGAGTCTGAAAGTCACTTTTTTACATTAAAGTTAAAAAAAAAAAATTTCAAAGTTCACTTACAGTACGAATTCCTCATCCACTTGCTCCGATTGACTTTAGCCGAGTGGTCAGTTGATATTGATTCTCTTGTAGAAATTTGAGTTTTTTTTAAGTTTTCACATTGAAGATTGTTGACCTATCTTCTAAAATGTTACAATTGTAGATTTTTAAGTGATTTCTAAAAAGTATGTAGCAAAACTCTCTTCACTTAGTATGTTTTTGTTATAAAACATTATATATTTTCAAGTCTTCATTCTCAAAACATAGATGTAGTTCACAAAAGATGTCAGTAAAGAAGATGGCCTCTAGCTGATCAAAAGTTGGATAGACATACTGAATGGCATGCTCTATTATTAATATAATTTATCAAATTTTGTATACAACTGGAATGAAGACTGACCTTCCTGGCATGGTATTTATCTTGTGACACTTAAACATTTGTGCTTAGGCCTGTGACGAAACATTTGGGTCCATATAGTCAAATTTTAAGCCAATTTAACTCGTCTCTACCCTTTTGTGACACTACTTTCTAATTAATTTTTCCCAAGGCTAAATCAAGATGTCATGGCTACTGCCTTGTTTCATTGTACTTTTTAAAATATTAAATATATTATTAACATTAGTTAAAGACCTGTGTAATTTCTCTGGAAGCTGTGGTAGGAGTTCTAAAATTAGTTGATTATCCTCTGAATTTCTTACAATAATATCCTTTGCGATTCCATAGGTTTGTCGTTGTATAATTATGTGAATTGGCCAATAATTACTAAGACACATCATATATAATGTTGATGTATCTCAGAGACATTTGCAAGTTTAAAATTTTGAGGAACTAACATATTTTGAGTGGTAAATTAAAAACAAGAGTTTCAAGAGTTCAAGAGTTTTACAGTTTTTAGTAGTTTTCTTGCCTTATCAGTTTAATGCAGTATTTAGCCTTCCAAAATATTGCACTGCCCTGGCTGATAGCAAATGTTTACAATGCAAAGGAAGATGAGAACAGCCATAATCAGGTTCAAATTAAGTTAAACACAAATAATGTATAGAGTAACAATAGACAAGTATACAAGGTAGAAAGTCATGGGGTGGTTCCTCAAAATACCATGCATTCTTGTACAAGAGAAAGTGTAACTGATGTATATAGTATAAGGTGATGAACTTACCTTGTGGCTACCTTGTGGAGGTTCTGGGGATCAGTGGCCCTGCGGCCCGCTATGATCAGGTCTTCCAGTTGGTTGTCTGGTCAACCAGGGTGTTGGAAGTGACTGCTCACAGCCACTTCCAACACCCTGGTTGGAAGTTGGACTCACAGCCTGGTTGATCAGATATCTTTAGGAGGTGTTTGTCGAGTTCTCCCTTGAACACCGTGAGAGGCCGGTCAGTTATGCCCCTTTTGTGTTGTGGGAGGGTATTGAAAAGTTTTGGATCCTTGATTTTGATAGTTCTCCCTCAGCATTCCCATTCCATCTCTGCTTTGTATTGGGGCTATTTTGCACATCCTGTCATGCCTACTAGTTTCATGTGATGTAATTTCCATGTTCAAATTTGGAACCAATCCCTCTAATATTTTCCATGTGTAGATTATTTTTGTGTATCTTTCTCACCTGCACTATAGAGAATACAGATTTAGAAATTGTAAATCAATTTCTAAATCTGTATTCTGTATAATTGGTCCCGATAATTTAAATGACTTATAGAGTGGATTCTAGCAGTAAATACCCTTGTACGCTCTCTAGGACGGCAATTTCTCTGGCTCTGAATGGGGCTGTTGACCTCGGTATTGTGCTTCTTTGGTCTTTTGGATCTGTCTTTGGATTGGCTTTCGAAGTATGTGCAGGCGTTAAGTGAGGGGCCTTCGGCTAGGGGTTCTGGTTTCAGCTGCTGCGTCATCTGCCTTGCTTGATGCAGCAGTTGGTTTGTGCCGAACCTCTGGGAGGCAGTTTCTATGTTTTTCACCTCCCATCTCGAGTGTCGGCAGGCCGACTCAGGAGATGGTGGGTGGGAGGGGGCGAAAGCACACCCGTTGTAACTCCAACCACTCTAATCCCCAAAACTCCAAAAATGAAACTGATTTGCTCTGCAACAACCACATGAGCATGAACCTGCACACACACAGGCAAACAAACTTGAAGCTTAGCCCACCTGTCAAACCATTACAAGCAATGCCACAGGCTTGCAGGGGAGTTACCATGGTCTGAAGGAATGTGAACCAAGCAAGACACACAGGCACTGGAGGTGCTTACCAGTTGAAGTGACGTTGAACGCAGACTTGGGATTAACGGGTCTTCAGGGGGCGTCAGCGGTGTGCCATTTGAATAAGCCAGCAAACCCCCAACCTGTGGGGGTTCCCTCTGCACTATGCAGGGTATGGGTCTACAGAGTTGAATTGCTTTTCGGAGACAAACTCCCAGTCACACTAGGGGGAGTGTGACGGAGTGTGAATGCTGTTAATGCAGGGGGAATGTTAAATGAACACTTGGGAAGTGTTGCTCTAAACACACGCAGCACAAAGCGAAGAAGAGACCAAGTGAGGCTTGAAATAAATGCACATAAAACAAATAGTAAAGGTTAAGAGTGACACCAAAGCAAATGGCCTCTGCAAGTCAGTGTAATGAATGGCCTGCACTTATCAATAAAAGATGCCACAGTCAGTAATTCCAGGATGTCTGTATCCACACCAGACATCAGTGACAGGACTGAGGCAAAGATGGCACAGAAGCCTGGGGGGGCCTTATGGTCCTACCATCTTTTGGTAGCCATTCACATTATTATGTTCAAGTTAATTTTGAGTGAATAATTTGAGTCTTAAGTGAATCATTTGCCCAGTCATTTGGCTGTTTTGGTACTTCATTTTTGTTTTATACTTTGCAGTTATTTGCTTTTGCCTGTATTGCTTGGCTTACTTTCTGGCTATTTTCTCATTGAGAAAGTACCATACTGTTCCTCTGTGAGGTGAGCCAGATTGTGTCTGTGGTCCAGTCCCTGGTAGGCCATACAGGACTCTAATGACTGGTGTGACTCAATTGAGGGGGAACCATCTCAGCGAGATAGCTTCAGTGAGCTACCAAGACCCTACGTGAAAGAGGCATTTTATTACATTCTATGTTGATTGTTTTTCAGTAACAACTTTATAAAGAATAATTATAGTAACACAAAATTATTACAAAATCTATACACAATGTATGAAACCAGTAAGCAAGGTGTAAAGTGAAAATGTTTGTAATTTTTGTTGATAGCCGTAATTAATAAACAGAAATAGGCAATAAATATTCTTGTAGTAATCTTTTATTCAGAAGTATGAGTTAATTATTATTTAACCCCGGTACTGTGCATCCTTCACATGGAACCCCTTCTGTGGTGTGCAAGACAAAATTATTTCTAAAAAAATTTGTTTCCTTTCTGATGTTGTTACAGTGCTTTCCCCTGATCATGGGAAAGTAAACAAAAATATTGTATCTAACATACTCTGGCTGTGATGGAGCAAACAAATGAGTTTATTATGGGCGTTGAACGAGTGGCCATTTGGAGACCCAGTGACTCAAGGGGTGGCAGTTGCCACAGTTTTCATAATTATTTCAATGTCTCAATTTTGTTTTTATTCAAAAGTGTATAATTTGAGAAATTTATATAATAAAATGTGAAACATCGATAAACCCAAAAATATGTTGCGCCTATTAGTCACACACACACAATATTCTTAGGACAATAAAAGATAGTCTTTTTACTGTTATCACACTATATACATGTTATAATCAACTATATATATTTTTATGCACCATTATGAACCACTAAGCATGTCTGGTGAGTGTAATAACCTTATAACTGGTTATCAGAGTTCAGCCTAGGCCTGCATTTGTTTACATGGAATTGTGACAGGGCCTATTGAAAATACAGTATTGTATTTTCTTCACATTGTAAATGTTTTTACCTTTTTTTTTTGTTGTTTTTCAAGTGTAATGATGCAACGGGCTGTCAATATTAATATTTGTATCACAGAACATGTTGAATATTGGTACTAATAAATATACAGTATTCATGTCACGTGCCTATGAGTACAAATATTATATTCTTTGAACAATAATACATACAGTTTTGCTATTATTACACTACATACACACATTATATATATATATATCTAACAACATTTCTGGGTGGAGCCCTGTCGGCTCCCTGGAGCTATCTAGGCTAATATGAATAACTTTCTGGTATCAGTCAATGTGCATGGAGTTCTTGCCTACCAGGGACCACGGCCAGAACCTGGTCTCCTCAGAGAGGCACAAGGAGCAATGGCCTATAGAAACCCCCGTGTGGTTGGGAGCATACTATGTCTGCCATCGACCGGATCTGACACCCAGAAAGTTAGGCGCCCCAAAACAAACCCCTATTCTGGTGGAAAATTGCTACTGAAAGCCGAACGAGTGGACAGAACTCCCCAGGCGAAAAATAGCAAACGAGCATGACGTCATCACGTTGCCGTGCCGCTGTCTGCACAACCCCATCCCCTTCCCGAGAGGGGGAATGGGGGAACCCCAGACCCTAGCGCTGGCGATCCAACCTACAGTTTTTAGATGATGTACGACTGGTTTGGGTTCCCAGCCAGTCCGTGTGTCTGCTCGCCAGGGATTTGGTTCTTTCTCAGCCCGCCGGGTTTGGGTTCCTGGTGAACTGGAAGAAGTCCAATCTGGCTCCCTCTCAGGTTCGGTCTTGGCTGGGTCTTGTGTGGGTCGCTCAGACCACTTCCTTGTCTTTTCCTCCGGCAGCTCTGCTGCAGCTGCGTTCCCACCTTCGTCCGTTCCTGAGGAGCTCTCAGGTCACGTGACAGTTGCTAGAGAGTTTGTGCGGGAACCTGAACTTTGCCATGAAGGTCTACCTGCCGGGT